TTTAGTTTTCGCATTGTATTAGATTGGTATATCTTTTTCAAATGTTTATTATTTTGTTCTTAATAATTCTTGTTGATTATTCTGCCTTTTCAAGTGGCTGTTTTCTTTTTTGTTTCCCAAGATTGTTGTTTTATTTTTTTACGTTTTCTGAGAGAGTCTGTTTACTTTCTTTGTTTAATTATTCTAAGAAAGGCATTTCTGATATCTTAACTTTTTTCTCAATGACTTTATTGCTTTACCAGCTTGGCTCTAAAGAATTTGAGAAAATATCTTCTGTAGATGAACACCAATCCTTTATGGAAAAGCTTGATGAGGTTAGCTCCTCTTTTCCTAGGTTATTTTGGTAGTTCTCCTTTTGGTCTTTTAAGTATTTTACATAAGCATATGTTTTAATTAAGGTTCAAGAACGGCTATACACTAATGGAGAAGAAGCTACAGCTAAGGAGTTTCAAGAACGCCTTGATTAATTAACAGCTATTGGTGATCCAGTGGTTTTCTGGTATGGCCTGCTTTCTGGGGATATAGGTTTCACTAAGTTGAATTGGGTATAACCTAAGCCTCTTCTATCACAAATCTTAAAAGCTCAAGGTGGCTGCTTAAATAAATTTTCTATGATTGTTTATATATAAAGAACTAACTGAACGGCCAACTGCAGTAGAATACTCCCAAAGATACCTTGGTCAACTGCAGCAGGTATGTAGTGTTTAGTTTGGAAGGCTTACATGTTAACTGCATTAATTTGTGGAAGTAGCATATTCGTGTTTCAATAATATATTGATTTTATCTCCCCATACTATTCAGATTACAACCATTCATAATGAAGAGAAGAAAAAATGTAGTTTTAAATAAAGCAGGATTGACAGTAAATAACCATCATCCTCTCCTGATTCTACGTGTGCAATAGCTAAAACAATTCATCTCCAAACATAAAATAAAATTTTCTATAGATGACAACCAAATTTGTAAATTGACCATGGTTAACGTCACGTATATATCTGGAGACACCGAACTGGATTATTTAGATTCACTTTTGTGATACTCTCACGATTCAATTTATTTTGATAGCTGATCATATTCTTATCTCTATCATATCCTTTGCTAATCTAGGCTTCTGGTGAGATCGTAATTCAGCAGTCTACTATCCCTCTCCCAAAGGAATTCAATTCCATTCAGTTTGCAGCTTTTTAACATATAAAAATTCTTTTCCAATGTAAAATTAATGTTTCTTTTCTGGGAATCTTGCAGGTTATTCAAGGCTGGGAGGAAAATAGACCTTGGCTTCCAAAAGAAAGAGTTGATGAGGTTCTTCATTATGTTTAAATTAACTCTACCCTTCCTGAAATTATCTTGAGTATGCAAAAAACGTGTCACAGGATGCTTATGCTGATAATTTTTTAAATTTTCTTCGTTTCAGTTCTTGGGCAATATAGACAAGTTCAAAACTTGGTTGAAAGAGAAGGAGACTGAGCAGACGAAGTAAGATATATATTCTATATGTGATTTATTGTTGTGAGTAGTTACACATTATAAGTAGTAACTGAGCTCCTTTGAGGCTTGATGTTTCTGCTCCTATAATTAGTTGTATGACCCCAAGTGAAGGGAAGAGGTTCAAAGAATATGGTTGAATTTGGAAGCTTTTCTTTTAATAAAAGTTTTCCGAGCTAAGAGCCTAAGATGGATAGCAGGATTTACTCTCTCAAATGTCCTTCCTGCCCAAAACCTGTCTTCCTTGGCCCAAACTGAGGGCTTGTTTTCTTTTTTGATCTATTCCAAGGTCTCTTATGTGCTACTGAAGTACTGATTTTCGATGTGACCCTTAAATTTTTTTGCTTATATGTTAACAATCTTTTCAGGACTTCTGCATTCAGCACTCCAGCATTCACATCTGAAGAAGTATAGAGGAAGCTTTTGGATTTGCACGCTAAGGTAGAGTTTCAAAGCTCCTATATTATTGATGGTAAACAGAAGGGGTTTTTGCCAGTCCAGCGTGGAAATGTCAAAAATACCCTTGATACCCGTGAGTTTGGGTGTATTGATGAAAGGTCATCATCTTTTGTTGATTTCAGTCTGAAGATATGCGCTGAAAAACCAGCATTCTCGTTCATGTTTTGTGAGTACTTATTTTCACATATTCTTGTTGTTTGTTTAGGTTGACGGCATTAATAAAATTCCAAAGCCAAAGCCTAAAGTTGAGAAGCCTGTAAAAAATGAAACTGCCACCAGTTAGGAGAACGTTAAAGATTCCATCTCAACATCTGAGAATACATCACAAGGTGACAAACCAGCTACTGAGTCTCAGATGCCCCACCTGATGAAAAAGTTGAAGCAGAAGGCAAGAACCATGACGAATTATAATCAAGTTGGTATGAGTTGCAGGTTTCACAACCTGATTATTGCCCTTTTTAAGTTGTAAAAACTTGCGCAGGCAAAATGGTAGGAAAGAAGGGGAAATGTATTCCGCCTGAGGTTTTGCCTAGTCAGATGAACGGAAATAGTAGTAGCTTAACCAGGCTATCATTAATACTAACATGGTTGAGGGCGAATTTGTCCTGGAAATTTTTCGGCATTCAGATTAGGATTTTCGTTATATAAGAAACATTTATAATCATAAACCCGAGGTATAGCTCTGTTTCAGATGATTTACTCTTTCATTAAGTTCTTTCAGAAAAGAAAATTGTGAGTGTGATTATAGGTTATTTTCTGAACTACTGCTTCTTTAGAGAGTTTCCAATTTCTAATCTTTCGTTTTGAACTGTTGAACAATTCTATTTGTTCATTTTGGACAAGCAATGCTAAACCTGAATTCTCTTTTCATTTCCTCAAAAATCTGAAAGCAACATCACGCATGGTAAATTTGAATGTGGAGCATGACTTGCTTTTCTGTAAAGTTAAAAAAGAGGATTTTTTTTATGATCCTTTCCTTCCTTGTCAGTCAACCTCTATACAGATGGTTGGAAGAACTTTAGTTTAAAGTTACAATCTGTGCCTTCAAATGATTTACAAGGAGGGATGTCACCCTACAAAATGAGTTACTAAATTTGTCATTGATAACTCCAAAAACTTAAACTCTACTGTAAATTAAATTTAATAGGTCATAAATGAACTAAATGAATTGCAAATCAAAGTAAACTTGCAAATGAAAGTTGCATCTAAATTAAACTAAGTATGTTCATTGTCAGATTAAATTACAATTTACAGACAAAATTAGAAATTAAATTACTATAGAATTGAAAATTTAATCTTAAATGATCACAAAACTAATATGAATAAAGATTAAAGTAACAAGTCAAAAACCAAGAAGAAGTGTGAATGCCACGTAAATAATTATTTAGGAAAACACTTCTTATCATAAACCTTAATTGAAAACTAGTCAGAAAAGAAACAATACCTCACAAAATTTGAAAAGCTTGTTGTTCATTACATAAAAGGGAAATTGTAAAAGCAACTATATGAACTAATTTGGCTATTTAAATGATGAAAACAACCTAAATCTACCAAGAATTATGCTAAAAACTGAAATCTATAAACCAGAGTGAGCAATTGCTAACAAGATTTAAGAGTGCTAAAACTAGTTATAGGCTGTGTATAGGACTAACTATGTGTTGAATGATCAAAAAATTCACTTTTGTTTATTTCCTCTAAGCTTAAAACTCCCCGCTACTTAGCAGTAACACAATGTGGGTGGTTTCTTGAAAAAGATGGACACCTCAATAGTGAATTGGGTCAAAACTCCATCCAAATCTTGTCACCTATCCCTGTTATCTGCCAACTCAATCCCTTAATTGGTTTATCTCCTTAAATTTAGCAATTATAGGTCCACTTCAATTCAAATAAGTAATTAAACATGTAACCTTCATCTATTCAGACACCACCTTCCATAAGGCAAGTGATTTGTCAAAGGTCCCAAAACAATAGATTTCATGTGGCATCATCTTATCCATTCATTCAAAAATAAATGACACTTGGTATAATCTTAAATTTTTGCAATTTATAGTGTAAATACTTTCTAAGAGGGTAACCTATGCATTGATCCTCCTTACTCTCTAACAAGATTTGTGGATAACAAAATTCTCACAATAATCAGAGAATCTTGAATTCACTCAACAAAGCAAATTATATTTTTTGACAAAACATAAGCATAAATCTCTCTATAGGTTTTTATGCATCCGCAAACTAGAAATCAATCAAGTTATATTCAATTAACTTTATTCTTTTTTTTATAGGAAACAAAGATTGTATTAAAATAATAAAATTGAGATTACATATGAATCCCTTTATCACGGCATATATAGCCAAAGTAGAAGCATATTGTATAACACTAGATAAAGACTTAAATTATAACCATAATGAATATAAACAATTAAGTATATAAAGTCATTTGCACTTGGAAATTACATTAATAATCATTATAGGGACATAAATAGAGCTACAAATTTAGGAAGAAAGTCCCTGCAAGCATCCTTAGTTACTAGACACTCTCACTTCTATGCCAACTTCTTAGGGACAGTAGACATTTAGGCTATCAACAATTCCTATGCACTGATAGCCCTACCATCAAGTTGCAATGACCATATGCCTTAGGATCCAATCGTAAGAGAATTAGCAAGAAAAAGAAGAGGGAGGCTTGACATGAGAAGAGAATACCCGAAGGCATGCGTTTGGCACACAGATTTTTTTCCTGCCATGTACAACAGAAAGTAAGAGGAGGCCTACAATGCACAAGAGAAAGTAAGGGGAGGAGCAAAGCGGCCAAACTTAAAATTAACTTTACCTAAGCTCGAGTTTCACTTGATTCATGTTTTTAGATCCAAGTTGAATTCAAACTTGTTACTATAGTGGCCCAACACTTTGTTATGGGTCTAAAGCCCAAAGTTGAGCCCAAGTACAAAATAGTTTTGGAAAAGAGGACCACACGTTTTCGAACAAGTGGACCAATACTCATAAATTGGATCGGAAATACCCCTCCCCCAACTCCCCGTTTTGATAATTACTTTCTCTAAAGTTCTCCTCTATATTCCCTAGTCGAGGGCTTTTCTAATTTAAAATGATCCACTTGAATCCACTTGAAGGGTACTCATTATTGTGGGCTTCAGCTCAAAGGATTCCATCTCCTCTTCATGCTGTCACTTATGCAGATTAGGTAGGATATTTGAATACTTGTTGCCCCACCTTTGGGTATTATTTAT